CGGAGTTAAACCACGACAGAAGGTCTCCATTAGATGGATTAAACTTCCATACTGTCCATAACCTACAGGAATACTAAATTTTTTAAAAGGCTCAAACTTCAAAGGAGAGCAACCTACAAAAAAGAAATATACAATAGTTTCTTTTATTGCCATTACAAAATTAAGGAATGGTTGCTGATTTTATCTGTTAGCTGGGGATCTAATTCATAAGGATCCCTTAATAATTTCTCAAATTGAAGCTTAAAAATGGAATACTTCATCTGAAACTCTTTCATCTTCCTCCTTAAATTCTCTCCTGCAGTTCCCCTCAGATCTTTTTAATCTCAAATATTGAAAAACGTCACTGTAAAAGTATTTTAAAAATCAGCTCTGTATGCAAAGATTGTTCTTGTGTTTTCATGAATTGCAGGTATATCGAGGTTATATTCCAGGCTTTGCAAAAATGACTTACTTTATTTTTTTATAGATTACCATCACCAAAACCACCACCCATGAGTGTCCTGCCTGCAGTAGTCACTGAAGCTTTTGGAGTAGCACTGGTGGGTTACGTAGCATCACTAGCACTTGCCAAAGCCTCTGCTAAAAAGTTTAAATACACTGTGGATGATAACCAGGTAAAGCTCTTTCTCCTTATTGCCAGTAAGCCTTGAAATTACTTCACCATTCCGGAAAGGTATCATTGATGAATGGCCAGTAGGAAAGTGTGAGTTCCACATGGTATCCTGAGGCCTTTGAGTGATTACAATACAGCCCAAATTAGCTCTGCAGAATGCCCTGTTAGTTGAGCTCCTCCTTTTGGGGAAACACATCCTCCAGGATAATCTCATAATACTGCATTTGGTGCAGCCAGCAACCAATTCGGGTGTTAATGCATTTTTCCAGTGTTCTAAGACAAGACAGCTTCTCCTCTGGCAGCTGAGCTCTTAAAAGACCAGCTAAGATGTTAAATCAGCCACTGATTACAGGAACAAAGCAGTTGTAAAAATAAACAGGGTACTTACAGCCCCAGAACATACCTGATACAGATTGACACTTATGCAAAATAGACGTCTCATCTGAAATAAAGGTTTATTTATAAAAGAAGCAGTGTGGGTCCAGACAGTGCTGCCAAATTTGCAGCCAAAGGAGCTTTCTGTGCAGAGTTCCACTTCACAGTGGGCAAAATTAGTAAGAGTGGGAAGTTTACTTTCTCAGCTACCCCACTGCTGGTCGGGGCAGGTTGGTAACTCCAAGCCAACTTGAAATCCATGGAGATGATTATTCAAGCACTGTGATAAAAACCACTCCATTTTAGATAACTGGCAGTAGTGTTGTGTGATAAAAATGCTGCCTCCACCTTTCTCTTACATGGTTTGGGGTAAATGACGTAAGATTGAATGAAGAACAATTGGGTTTGCAGCTGGAGGTCTATTTGAACACACTGTCTAGACAAGTCAGTTTTGCTTACATGGTGGGAATGTTCTTGCTATTGAGGGTTCTAAAATTTTCTTCAGAATGAATACATTGTGCCATGAATTTCTGTTGGTGTTTCACAGCCATGTTTTCTAGGGAGCAGGAGGAAAAGACTTGGAGCTCCATAAAAGTCAGGCTTCAGGTCAATATGCTGTGTTGTCTCAAGAGCACTAAATGGAGCACAGTAACCTGTATGTCTTTCTGCACCTTTGGAAAACTTGTAGCTTACACATCTTATTTACTGAGCTGTTGGAAACTATGTGTATGTCTGCATGGAATAATGGAGAAAAAGCGTAAAACCTCCATAAGAACAAAGGCTACAGTGTCACTGGGGGGTGTAGCTGTATTGCATTCAGGGGCCAGGCTTCAGACTACGTATGGTGTTCTGTGGGTATGCATGGCTGCCTGGGGAGCTTTTAAGGTGATGCTGTCCTGTGCTGTGAAGAAAAACTTCTGATCAGGTGTTCCTCTGGCTGGATACACCACCACTTGTGTCCTAAGTAATTCTAGCAGTATTGAGGTCTTTTCTTATGCATTGCCCTCAGGAGATGAACGAGCTCCTTATACTCTAGGGAAGAAGACTGATGCTGGGTAGCCAAGTTGAGGTGCTTGCTTAGAAAACACTGTTCAGCTCAGGCTGCAGATACAAGGTGGCTTCCCCACTTTTTCTTCTACATATCTTTGCTCAGACATGTCTGCATTTTGACTGTGAACAAACACCAGATATATTTGTAATGACAGACAGCATGCAGATAGTATTGCTACCATACTTTACTTTCACTAAAACATGCTCTAAAAGAAAAAAAAAAAAAAAATCAGTGGCTGTCTTTTTACAGCCGAGTCATAAGCCAGAAACAACCTGGACACTGTCCAGATCCCACTACTTGAGAATCTGGCCTGTTAAAAAGCAGATGTGGATCAAGATGTAAATATTTTGGCTGAATTTCACCTTCAAAACTTAGCAATACCATTTATTCTGTGAACAAAATGTGTCTCCTGCTTTTGATAAATTTGGTTCAGCA